AGGGACGGACGGAATCGACATTGCCGACTGAGTATGGATTGATTGATCGCGTTTCGGATACATGTTCTGACCATTCAGCATTGTGCCACGTGGGTCTCTGGAGTTTAACATTACCCTCCCATGTAGTTTCATTGCTTCTTGTGATAAAAGTGCTAATGCAATCATTGGTATCGCGTTTTTTGTACTCGTTAGCCTGCTTCATGAATCGGAACGAGTTCGATTGATCCTTCCTCTTGAGGCAGATAAATCACGTGACCATCTTGTCGGTTAGATTTAGCTTTGTGCTGGTTTATGGTAATCGCTAACAAGCACAGAAACCTCGTTTTATGCGCATAATATCAGCTCAGTTTTCCGGTTCTGAGCGGTGTACCGAGAGTGTATAAGTTTAACCCGTCGTGCTTGAATTTCGTTGGATTTCAGTGCCTCGAATTCACTTCCCATGGATGGAAATCAGAAATATCTATTGCAGTTCGTCATATAAATGTATCTACTAAGATCTTAGTCGAATCTTGGTCGAATATTTTTTTCAACCGAAGTATATCAATAATAGTGCCAACTTAACTAGTGGGGAGTTGGTCACTACATTGTTGGTATCTTTAAAAGGTCGTAGCACCGAACTATATCATTATACATGCAAAACGATGCCGAAGCTAGTTTTAGACATGATATTATTGATGCAAAAGAGCAAATTACCAACAAATGTGTTTCTGTCAGCAACAAACGCGCTGAAATGGAGTGTAAACAAAAACACACTCGGCCGATGCAGTCACGTGTGTGTAAATCGACCCAGATTTGGCAGGTTCAAGTAAACAATAAGCTGGAAAAACAATAGTTGTTGTGCGCTAGCCAGTCCTTGGGTTGTTCAAGATCTATCGCGAATGGTCGTCTAAGAGGAAAACCTCGATAGTTTCATCTTCAATTGTGACTTCCTGTGGAAATTTTTTAACCATCTCGAAAATGTTGCTTCGCTCAATTTGTTTGCTTCCGTGTCCTGTTTTTATCACATCCGTCATTTGTTTTCTTCCATGCTTCCCTGTTTTCCACAAATCGTCGCCCAGCAGGTATGTTGAGGTTAACTCCTTCGGTATCAATTGCTCGCGTGTTTTCACGAAATTTGAGTAGGCTGGAGTGTGATACCTAGGATTAGCTAGCCACAGGACAATAGATGGATGCATCCGCACTGACTACAAACACCGTTTGGTTGTGACCACTAGCACTATTATTATTTTATGATCACATTTGGAAAAATATTTTTGTTCCCTTCGTTAGCGATCGTCTTCGACTGAATATCGACTGATTTGTGTTCCGTATTTTTGATGCACTTCTATAGACACCCGAATTATGTAATTTTCTTGTTTCTGAGCTCAAGCTAGCTCAGTAGCTGGTTAAGATGTGACCTTACTGACTGGAAAGTCCGTGGTTCAAACCGACTTCGGCGTTTGTACTACTCCTGTTTAGACTTGTGCAGTATCTCAGCCATCGGGCTTCCTTCGGGTGGTATGTCAGCTATCCACCGGAAGAGTGTTACAGATGGTAGATTATTTTATTGTTTTTTTTCATCTAGTCCTTAAAATCCCGGTGTTCAGTTTAATGTACGGCAGGTAGGAGTGAATTTATGGACATTCTGTCGACCTCGTGAATTCAGTTGTAGCAACCTTCGTATTGTTGACGCTGTTCGTAGCTAACAACAGCTCAGCGGCTGAGTCGCGCTTTACGAGTCGTTAGTTAGTTCTTGATCGGTCTTCTTAAGGCTTAGGCAATTTCACAACACCCTACCCATGGTGTTTCTCCCCAGTTTACTGTTTTTTTTAATATCACTATTATTATTGTCATGAACAGCAACACACCAGTGGTGGGAATTGGTGCCTAACTGTTGTACATTCACAGAAGACCCTAGTAAAAGGCAAGACAAATAGAAGAGGAGTCGCCGCAAACAACCCTGTACAACTAGAGAGAAATGTCGGGTGTCAGGTGGCTGCATGTTCTTAAAACATGATAATAAAAACGACTGAACATTGTGCTGGAGCAAGAAGCCGTCGCCAGGACTGTTTCAGCGTCATCTGCAACCACACCCAACGATCATTAACTCGGCAGTCCGGCTGCGAAACGATATTGGGCTCACCGCCATGTTCTGCAGGGTCTCCAACCCAGCTTATGTGCACTGACTTCATCTGTCACACTGCCGATTTTGCCGCCCATTAACAAACTTAGGCTCCATCTCCTGAGATTTAAAAGGAGTGAATGGGAGTGGATCCTAAAGCGAAACGTCAAAACTGTAAATTGCATGCCGAAAGAGGGGATCACTTCCTATATTCAATTTAGAGTAGCTTGTGTGGACGCATGATCGTCAAAAGACAAAACGTCATCCACATAATCTAAGTCTACCAGTCTTTCTCCTCTTGTGAATTGGGCACCCAGATTCACGTTCTGGGGATCGTGCTCCATGATAGGGTCACTGACATGAGAGAGGGTGGGATGGCAATTGGAAGCCGCGTGAAGAAAGGATGCCACAATCGAATACTATGATTTAGTTTGTCTAGTGGTGGAAAAACTGATAATTGGCCTTCATCGGGAGCAAAATTAGCGGAATCACAAAGGATGAGAAACAAGCGTTGACTGGAATCCGGGTTCATGCGGTCAACCTTCAGGAAACAGTTCAATTATTCGAGTCGTGTCAATCACGCTTGTGTGGGTCGCGAATGAGGTCAGCTGGTCCCACCATTGGTATTTATGAGCTCTACACAACGGATGTGGACTGTCCGTCGTTTCGACTTTCACTGGATGGTTGTGTGTGCATCGCCAAGGCATTCGCGCACCACCATTCTTCGTGCCTGGTCAGGCCCGTGCGACTTGTCATCATTATTGGCAGCAATCAACCAGCAATATATACTGGCGCCTAACCGCCATACAACCATGATGAGATAAGAAACCTTGGTAATCAGTTGAACTAAGTGGTACGATTGGGGACTTACTGCAATCTTATGTCGTTAGGTTTTAAGGATCAATGTGATGTCACCCACAGTTTAAATTGATGTTGACGGCTGAATCTCTTGTTTTTGATATTTTTCAACTGCGTTTGTTGTACAGTACTCGCCTCTTGTTTGTATTGGAACGATATTCTAGATGCCCGGGTATTCCTTTTGGTATGAAAACACTTATAGACTCTGTCAAGGAGTTTGTGACCAGCCTTATACTTAGTGTTCTATCAAGATAAATCACAGGTTTTTTTACAACTGATTTCATGTTAGCAACTTCATCCATCTGCCTTCTCATGTGACAAGTGCTCTGAATGATATTCACAGTATTCAGACTTTTACTCGACTTGCTAAGTTTGTTGGTTTCTCTTTGAGAAATTCTCTCATGGGGGCACTTATTCCTTCTGTCCCAGTGTGTTTTCTGCTTCTTTGATCCTCGTCTGACAAAATGCCTGGTTAGCTCCTGTAAGCAATGCATACTGTGGCTTGGTTTAGTCAACCTACTTGTCGAGATATGGCTAATTTCGTCTGGATAAACTATGATTCCACTAAATAGCGCGTCGGATAAATATGATAACAAGTCCAGAGCCTGCAACGAGTTTCACCAAGGCATAGGTGCCGAATGAGGAAGGTACTTCTGCCTGCTTTGGTTTTATCTGGTCACGCCAATTCAGTACCAATCACTCGAAAGTCATTAACGTTCTTAGCGCCACTGCCTGTTCTTAAAAAACTGTTGGTAGACTGTGATTCGTTCGGACACCATTAGAGTGTGAACAACCGACCATGTCATCTCTGCTCGTCCAAACGAGCTGCGTTCGCAGAGAAGTTGATGGCGATCGCCGGATGAAGGCTCCAGTGGCAAGTACTGGCGTACTGTTGGTTCCATGCGCGCAATGTAATGATGAAGTAATTTAGTTTTATGCTCTTACAACCTCGTCGGCGAAGCTTATATATCACGGTTATACATGCTGAAAAGATGAAATAGGCCGACATGTACGGAGCTTTATCGTTAAGGCAGCATGCATTTGTTTTAGAGAATTTGATGTGTAAAGCGAACAAAACGAGATCGATAAATATCATTTATAATGCGGTAGACATCCTTGGATGTATTGACAGATGTTTTAGACCCATTAGTGATCAAGATTATTGCCTCTCCTTCAAGGGGCTTTACAATCGCCGGAGGATTGTTCTGGTCGATCCCGAGAGTTTTCTGTCGAAAGGGCGTACGTGGATTAGTTCAAGCGTGTTCCAGTCATGAATTTTTTCGCCTTGCTCTGTCCCTCTTTCAGCGATTTCTTTTTGTTGTGGTTTGTTCACTTGCTGTTGTGTGGCTCGCCGCTTGTAGGCACTCCGTTTACCCTGTTCATCCATGGCTGGCTGTAACAAGTTGTTTACTACAAGCACCTCACTTCTACCACTGCGGACGATAATAGTGGTTGCAAACTGTTATTTTTTTCTAGGGTTTGGCTCTTAGTGAGAACGGATGCATCAGGTTGTTGACTGATCTGATCCGGGAGCAACTATCAATACCATGCGCTGTTATGATGGGCGCAAACCTGGCTTCCGAGGTTTCTCAAGAATACTACTGTGAAGCGACCATCGCAGCTGCAACCCTTGACATGGGTCGTGAGCTGAAACAACTATTCCAGGTGAGTCCCCTACTCGAGTCACTCCGTGAATCTTTGTATTATATCTATGGACGGTTTTCTCAGTATCGTATTTCTAAGTGACTGTGTGGGTGTGGATCAACTCCCCTGAGGAACGGATACCACGCCGAAGGGGGTTTCTTAATTGTACCGGAGGATGGCTTGTTTCCGGTGGGCACTACTGCTGTAGATTCTCCTGAGTAGCAACCTCTTTTAAGGAGCTCTTCTTACAAGGGTGCTCATACTGATTTGTCCTTGTCTTTCAGCGCGCAGCATATGGACCATGAACTTGTTTAGCCACCCCAGGTTTTGGGATTTAGGCACCGTATTATCTTATGAACGTTGCCTATGTCTCGAATTCCTTGTATTTCCTCTGAAAATGTCGTGACCGATACCTTTTAGGTAGTGCTTTCATCTTTATCGTTGTGTTTAGTTTCTGGAGACACTCTTTAATCAACCTCATATGAAAGTCTGATCTCCGAAGCTGTTTTATTCCTATACTAGTGGACTGCCAGATTGGTGGTATACCTCGGCACCCAGAAGCGTTCCTGTAAGTCTCCCCAGTCCAGTCCGTTGTCTGTTAGCACGAGGTTTACCCATCAGCGTAGGATGGAATTGTCATGGACAAAATTGGGCTCTGTCTTTAAGGATTTTTGGAAGCCCCGTAGATTGTGGTACTAAGCGCTTTGATTATCTCCAGTAAAACCGAGGTGATCCTACTATTGTCTCAGAGCGGAAACATGTAGTTAGTAACCTTGTGGTCAGGACATTCAGCTTTGCCCTTCTAGCCAGGCATGACAACAACTTTCACTATGCCCGAGTAGCGCACACATCGACATAATCCTTTCTGTTTAGAGTGACGACACCTGAGCTTTTGACAGACCTAGATAAAACACTTTGTTCTTTCGGAATTCTCATAGAGCGTCAAGGTATCGCCTTGTCAGGGGACTCTTCGTAGCTGAGATATCAACGAGTTACCGGTGTTTCCATCACTTTGACATCCTAGACCGTGTGTTTGACCAAGGTTTTCAAAATGCACAACTAGTTCGACCTGGTCTGCTTGTGTACGACGCGAAACTTAGAGCCAGGAGACGGGATATCAAGGGAAGTTCTTGTCTGAACGTACTGCCATGCCAACGATTCGACTGCCGTTTTCACAACGTCAATATGGGTCAATCAACGTGGATCTTGATTGGCTCCACTTAGGCTGTTAGTTTGGCGTGGGCGTGAGCGAAGCTGCGTCGGTGTGTCTGTATAGTTGCGTACGTGTGTGTTTATCTTGTCCTGCCAAGTGGCGTGTGGCCTGACAGCGAGGGGGTAGAGGGGCGGAGTCTGCCTTCTGTTGACTGTTTATAGGCCTGGTGCCTTAAATCCGGGTTTCGCGCCTAGTTACGCATCCAGTGTGGACAATCCAGATGGATCAAGGATTAGCCCCATGATCGCGGTAGACACAGACCGAATGCCTGTTAATTTCGCTGTCTTTAGCACACGCACTCCACGTATGACCTGAAGCGAGTTTGGTGTATAGGTGGACCGGCAGTCGACTTGATGCTTATTTCCTGCTTGCAGAAAATCTCCCAACTAGAGTCTTGGAGGGTGGTTGAAATTGTGTGGTGCAAGAAGAGATTGACAGCTATGGATGGTACTGGAGCCAACCTCATCTGTCTGTGTTCAAACTACAGTGTTGAAGGTAAAAAAGACCTAAGTTAGAGTCTAACGTCAGGCACAGCGCACCTTGGAGAAAAACCCGTTGTTTGCTGAAAGACAGTGGTCTCCGAATTTTTCAGTCCCTAGCGACGTGTGGATGGCACCATCCTCCCCATTATTTTCTTTACACTGGACGGACATCGTCTTATTTGTGCAGTAACGCCCCCGCAGAAAACACTCTAGAAGGTAAACAGCGGTATTTCCGGTCAAACACGGTTTATTTTATGATCGCACTGGACGGACATCGTCTTATTTGTGCAGCAACGCACCCGCAGAAAACACTCCTCTAGAAGGTAGACAGCGGTATTTCCCGTCAAACACGGTTTATTTTATGATCGCCCGTGGAAGAGCCATGCTCTCGAAGTTTCCGTCATTTCACTTGAAAATGTCACCCCACATTGACCGACGCTAATTAGTAAAAGAAATATGTGAGCCCGTGCCAAAGCATTCAGCACAGTATTGATGTCATTTTCTTGTGCTTCAGCCACAAATTGACTGGACTTTACCGTGGTGTGACGGCATGTGTGTCTCCGGGACACATTGCCCCCATACTGGGTGGTTTCGGTACGACACTCACAGGTTCTCTAATGCCAGACTGGTCAATGGTTAGATGTCCGACTAACACAGTCTTCTGGCCCCTCAGGGTGTTGAAACATGTGTAGCAGCTCTCTCCACAAAAGTGGTGCACTTGCATTTTCCGCCAAGGGGTTAGATTTTGAGCCAAAGTCTTTGGCCATAGACCCTAATCGTCCTCCTATCTAGGTGTGGGCGCCCTGGCAGTATCCCAGCCAATGCGAACTCATGACACTTACAACTAACAATACTCTCATGTCATATTGGCCGTTGCGTGGTGTCACCAGCCAGATCGCCTACTTGCTGTATGCAGCATGTAAGCGACACCTTTCTTACATTTTCACCGTATCATACCCCATCCCGATTTGAATATTCTCTTCGCAGATCCCAGTACCAGCACTGACCACTTTTTTCGCCGTGCATCACGCTGTATAGTTTTTTGTTAGCGAAACTGCGTCTGTGGACATATACCTGAGCCGTCTCCAGATTTTTTACCACCGACTCATTAGTAGCGTTGCTGGTGTTGGATGGTATCTATGAATTCGTTCCTTGTCCGTTTTCACTGACGGTTCTGCTGGAGTAACTGGATGCCGGTTTCGAGAGTTTCAGATATTTGGACTAATTTATGTGACTTTTGACGCCTTGAATTTAATGAACGCATCAAGTAGTAGAAGGGCTTCCAGATATGTATCTAGTGAACAGCACTGGAGACGTATGTTATCCAACGGGATTATACAAAAGTGTATTCTCTATCGCTGGATATCCGATACGTAGGATGGACTACCTAGGAAAAATCGAACAGAAGGGCAGACTAGAGTTCCACCTCGAAACAGTACAGGGGCGAAGCAACTCAAGCGTGACTCCGGTGTCGCCCTGTATGCACTGGAGAAGAAACATCACACCGAATTTGCCGACACACCTACACTTCAATCTGGTAGGGTCTGCACTGAAGCCTCAAAAATCAACATGGTCCTAACCTGTGTCTAACTTGATAGTTGGAAAAATCTTCGGTCCTTACCACCACATGCCTGACAAGATGTAATACCCAGCGTAAACCTGAAAAATAATCGTTCTTCACTCTTATACCGTCCAGCTACGATTGCCAGCAAGAAAAAACAACGAATTATATACAACCATACACTGATACACATTCTATTCCATACACACTACTGTAGTAGCTATGGCCATCAGACGAATCGATCGCAATTCGCGACGATGTTTTGTGGTTAAATGTCTTGACAAAGGTCGTTCAAGCACCACATTTTGCTGTGTTTTGATTTCAGAGTCCATTTAGTGGTGGTTGAACTCGCAAGATATCCGTGTGACTTTTGGCCTAGTTGAGCTGGTCCCTCCCCTCCAAAAAGTACTTATTTATCATCCTCATTAACACATGTGTTGAAGTTCTTTACACTTTCCTGAGGTCATTTGCAACAGTATCGGTAGTTAGTGACAGTATAGAGCTCCTCCACCTTTAACCAAGCTCTTTTGAACTGAACGATCACAAACTATTTTCACGCTTGATAATCAGGCTCATGTGTTACTCATCGGTGCTTTCTGAGCTTGCTTCTCGCATCTCCACTCATAATGCCGATGTATATGTAGACAAGTCAGCATGTAGCTACAGTTTGTTAACATGCTATACACTCCACTGTTCGTTTGTACAGGTTTGCCAACTATACCAGGGTTAGTCCATTTAAGGGTATTTCACCCTTAGGCTGACGTATTCGTTGCTCGGGTGAGTTTATTGGCTGGTGATCAGGTGGTTGATCTGTTCGCCGAGCTTGACAATCGACTTGCACCCGGGTGCACTGGTGATGTCTCCGTGGTGGGTGACCTGTTCGCCCAGTTTGGCGAACAGGTCAACAGTCACTTAACCACGTGGATGCACTTATCAACATATGCCAACACCTCCAGGCTTCATATGCTCATAAGCAACTCCTTGATGGGAAACCTTCGTCCGCAGACAAACCTCCACGCGTCAGCGGTTGTATTTCCCCTATGAATTACTGCGAAAATGCCTCCTTCCATTTGGTCTAACCTGCAGATGACCCATCCAACCTCACACTGGTGTCGAAACGATGGTAAGACAGTTGGCAAGCTCACTGAACAGATCAACAACTAGTTGCACCTAATCTCTACATCGACTTCGAAGGGCCTCAACTTCGTTCGGTCGTATACAAGAGGGAATGACAACATAATGGCCTGTCGCTGATATGTGACGTACTGTTGTCTTACCGCCCGCAGCAGTAGCAGTATCTATATTGAGCGCCTTTTCATTAAGCCGGATGGAACCGATGATATGTAGTCTCTGCGCAGAATACCCCAAGAAACATGCAACATCGACCGTCTTCTACGTTGAAGGCTTGGGTGCAAATCTCATTACTTAGGCGTTTGGGATGTTTTTCATTCAACAATCCTCTCACAAATGTCATATGGCTATCTAGTAGGGCAGACGTGGATCACAACTATGAGCCACAGCACTTCTCTAGGTCTCGCCTTATAATCCTGCGTTGTTTGATTGTGCTTGTTCGGATTTCATTTTAGACCGACTACTTCCGGATTGTGGTTATCCAGGATGAAGTGGGCACTGAACTCTGTGGTGCGTTGAAGAACATTGTTGCCGTGGGCGCTGGAATTACCGAAGGTCTAGGTTACGGTGATAACACTAAGGCCGCCGTGATTCGTCTCGGTTTTATGGAAATGAAATCATTTATCTACGAGTTCTTCGGTGACAGAAGTGAGTTGCTTGTTTAGTTTCTGCGATACAATCTATTCTGGAGGGTGATCTTCTAATTCCCATTTTCATCGGTTGCGCCACAGTATAAGTCGGTTTGAGTGGAGCGCTCTTGGTTTGCAATAGCGCAACCTAAGAAAGAAGGTCACCTGAGAATTCTACTTTTGAAGCCTCTTAAGTTTATGGCTGACGGGTAGCCTATCTTTCGGCTCGTATTACGAAGTACCTTTAAGGCATGTTCTGCTCAAAATCCTTCCCAAAAAAGATAAAAATAGCCTCACTCTGGTTGTCTAACACAAACATGTTATGTGCAATATGCTTTCCTTCATCGGACTGACTTCGACTCGTTATATTTGTGAAATTAGGATTCCTATAAATTGAGTCACGACCACTAGGGGTTCCGGAGAAGAGGTGTATTACTTGGAATGATATTCACTCGGAGTTGCTTTTTTAATATTTCCTGAGAAGAGACCATTCTGACTCGGTCTCCAGGTGTGATCGTCCCAATAAAGACCACTGTTGTCAATAACTTCTATACCTTTAAGCGTGTTATGAAGTAATCTCTCAAGAGTGTATCGGCGAATTAAAGCCCCCCATCGACGGGCTGTTTTCAGCGTGGGACGCCGGAAGCTGTTGATAACACTCTTCACTGGACGACCAAAACCGTGCGCTTTCCCGAAGCGTTCGTTTTTCAGGGGTACTCATTTTTTTCCGTTTCTACGTCATTGTCTCTCCCCACATCAAGTAACTTTTCCCACCATTTACGGCAATCCTGTAGAAAGGAGCGTTTGATGACAACTACTTTATCGATCGGAAGTGGTGGGGTGAGTATTTTCGGCTATTTAGATTCATTGAAAAGAAGCGTCGGTGTGTTATATGGTCAACGCAATTCAGCGTGCGAATCAGAAAGTATGTTCGTAATTCCACACAACACAGTTCGAACACCCGGTTGGTTCGTATAAAGAATCCAGGGTTAGTTAGCTCACGGATTTCTTGTGAATGCGATTCTTGCGTGTAATTGTCATGTTGCCACGGTACCCGGGCAGTGGATCTGTTGTTATTCTCAGAGGCGCGTGATGTGAAAAACTTTCGTCCCCGAAATCCTCCATGCATGACCGTTATGGTATGAAAAAGCGCAACCTAGTTCCCAAACTTTTCTGTAGGCTTTCCCCTTTTGACTGCGTATCGAAATGCCTCTCCGCACCTCGGTGAATTGCTGCGCTCTAGTGGGCATAAAATAATTCGGTTTTCTATATCGTCTTGTCATTATAGTGCAGCATTTCGCGCTTTGTTGCTGATGTTGCGAAATGTCGATAGGTCGGCCTGAGTGATTAGCCGTTTACGTGGTTCGCTGAGCTTTGCAATTGATTTAGGTGTTTCGTCACTATTCGAAGAACCTTGTCAGTGCGTTAGTGAACACCGTACCGTTTACTACTATTTGTACTAGAGTGTTGTGTTAAACGGGATCAGATTAGCGATATTTGCTTGAAGGGCAACAGTTTTCCTCAAAAAGCTTAACAGCTGGTTCAAAGACTATTGTGTTATCACAATACTACTGAGCCACTTAGTTAACACTTCCGCTGGAAACCTCCAGACTTATGCTGCTTTTCTTTCCATGAGACTCGGTACTATATGTACATATACGTATATGTAATACAGCCATATGATTGTCGACTGGCGCGGGGGTCTTTTTGTTACACCAAAACGACTGCCACTGCGATCAGATTTTTATGAAAATCCCTGGTTCTAAAGCAGCTAAAAAGACCGAAGTGAAATCAGGCGCTTTCTAAATTATAAATGAAATCCATTCTTGATACTGGCTCACTCCAAGGTTAAATAAAACAGTCATATATATGAGCGGTTTCTGTTTTTTTTGGTGAACAGTGCCACATATGTTAGAGGTTGCTGGTGATGATGATGACGATGATTGATGATGAAGCCAAACATATCACAGGACTCTTCGCATTTACTACCCACCCTTCAAATGAGCACTTCATGTCAATCATGCTTAGTTATAGAAGTCTTATTACAATTGCTTTTGAATGTGATCGCAGACCTGTGGTCCCTTGTTTTCAGCCATTCCCACATTTATTTCGTTCGCTAATTGTCGATAAGCCTAGAATGTCTGCATGCATGTTATCCCCCAAATCCCATTCAACTGTAGGCAATGATTTGAAGGATACGGTAGAATGGGAACTTAGCGCGAGGACAACCTACCTCACTGAATGTTTTCTTCCGCCCATCTGTCGTAGGTTCCACGTGCTACTCTGAAATAATTATCTTATTTTGCACACTACGAACGCCTTAATCAATTGTTTAAAGAACATACCACACAAAAGTAGTGGGCATAAAATAATTCGGTTTTCTATATCGTCTTGTCATTATAGTGCAGCATTTCGCGCTTTGTTGCTGATGTTGCGAAATGTCGATAGGTCGGCCTGAGTGATTAGCCGTTTACGTGGTTCGCTGAGCTTTGCAATTGATTTAGGTGTTTCGTCACTATTCGAAGAGCCTTGTCAGTGCGTTAGTGAACACCGTACCGTTTACTACTATTTGTACTAGAGTGTTGTGTTAAACGGGATCAGATTAGCGATATTTGCTTGAAGGGCAACAGTTTTCCTCAAAAAGCTTAACAGCTGGTTCAAAGACTATTGTGTTATCACAATACTACTGAGCCACTTAGTTAACACTTCCGCTGGAAACCTCCAGACTTATGCTGCTTTTCTTTCCATGAGACTCGGTACTATATGTACATATACGTATATGTAATACAGCCATATGATTGTCGACTGGCGCGGGGGTCTTTTTGTTACACCAAAACGACTGCCACTGCGATCAGATTTTTATGAAAATCCCTGGTTCTAAAGCAGCTAAAAAGACCGAAGTGAAATCAGGCGCTTTCTAAATTATAAATGAAATCCATTCTTGATACTGGCTCACTCCAAGGTTAAATAAAACAGTCATATATATGAGCGGTTTCTGTTTTTTTTGGTGAACAGTGCCACATATGTTAGAGGTTGCTGGTGATGATGATGACGATGATTGATGATGAAGCCAAACATATCACAGGACTCTTCGCATTTACTACCCACCCTTCAAATGAGCACTTCATGTCAATCATGCTTAGTTATAGAAGTCTTATTACAATTGCTTTTGAATGTGATCGCAGACCTGTGGTCCCTTGTTTTCAGCCATTCCCACATTTATTTCGTTCGCTAATTGTCGATAAGCCTAGAATGTCTGCATGCATGTTATCCCCCAAATCCCATTCAACTGTAGGCAATGATTTGAAGGATACGGTAGAATGGGAACTTAGCGCGAGGACAACCTACCTCACTGAATGTTTTCTTTCGCCCATCTGTCGTAGGTTCCACGTGCTACTCTGAAATAATTATCTTATTTTGCACACTACGAACGCCTTAATCAATTGTTTAAAGAACATACCACACAAAAGGCATGTTTCTTTTGGAATTCCAGTGACCTTCTCAGTGTTTGTTGTCAACTTAGTGATGACCATTTTGTAGATGCACCCAAACCTTCGGCGTTAATGCTAGTGTATCCACAGAATAAAAGCTATTAAGGTCAATGGTGGTCAGATCTGTTGTTATTACTCCGATACGCCTAACTTGGCAGACAATTTTTCAGAAAAAATTCTTGAACAATGCTTTTAGTACGGGTTAAAGGGTGTGATACTTTTACAACCACAACCAAAACAGCAGTTTTAACTCGAACAACCACTAAAAGGGGGTCTGCATGCTGCATTGCGTTCTACTGTCTTGGGTTGAATGAGGACGGTAAACACGTGTTAGTAGACCGTTTTAGAAGCTGAGCAAAACGCATTCTCTGGTCTTTCAGCAGATAAACATCAGGTTCACTTCGTGCTTCTTCGGTTGGTCTATACCTATGCTTCTGAAGTTTGGACAATGTCTTAAATTCGCGGTGTCCATCTTTGAGTTTCGGGTTTCCGGGGTAATCGGTAAGGCTGATTCAAGGTCACTGATTATGTTCAACTGTAGGCCGGTGTAAGTGTTTCAAGCATGTTTAAGTTATGCTATTTCGTCCTACTTATGTCAGCCATACTCGAGTGCATTTTCCACCTACAGCGAGTATTGTTTAGAACGAAACCATATTATACTTCGGGCGTTTGCTCATCGCGAAAAGAATTCGGTTGGAGCAGTGTGAAACCGTGTTTTCGACTGAACCGGTTTGACTGGTGTACCGCAACTACCATTCTGTATCAATAGGGTTGTTATACGTAACCGCATCGTCCGATTCAATTAGCCGAACATGCACAGCAACGACTGACAACGGAGTAAGAGTCAAAGGCAGCTTTCAGGTTGTTTTTCTTGACCTGAAAGCTGCCTTTGACTCTGTGGACCACCAAACACTGGCAGTGTCTGCGGAGCAAAAGTGTCCCCCGTAAATTCCTGACCATCATTAAGGCGCTGTACGCCAACTCCCGCGGCCGTGTAAAGGTCTACGGGAGGCTCTCTCCTGAGTTCATCATATCCAGTGGTGTCCGACAGGGCTGTCCTCTTTCACCTTTCCTCTTCAACTTCGTCAATGATACAATCATGAAAGACTCACTACTAGCCCCTAATGCCTGTGGGGTCGAAGTGCTCCCTGGGCCTCCGCTCACAGATATCGAGTACGCAAACGATATAACTCTTCTTGGATCTGACCCTGCGGTAATGCAAACAATATTAAATCTAAATAATTCTACCTCGCGGTTCGGCATGCAAAGTGTAAAGTGCTACTGCAAGACTGGGTGGGCTCGAACCCTAGCCTCGTGGTTGCGGATGAACCGATTGAGGTAGTAGACAAATTTGTTTACCTAGGCAGCTGTATCCGTCCCGGTGGTCTCACGAAAGATGAAATTTCCATCTGGATTGCGAAGGCCAGAGCAGCTTTTGCGAACCTACGTCACCTGCGGCGTAGGCGTGACATCAGCCTCTCTGTGCGGTGCGCTCCATATTACTATATTGATCAGAAACCTGGCGCTG